CTGTATGATGTCAATCTTACGGAATTAATATATTAAAAAATAAAAAGTTAAGGTTATTATTTGGAAACTGGCAGATCTGAATTTTCTGTTTGGCCCACTGCCAGTATGAGTCAATCAATGCTTCCTCAATACTGGAATGCAGAATATTGTCCCCCATCCCCTACACACACACTCCCAACTTAATGAAAATGCACCGTGCATCTGTGCTTTCCACATTGAATTCAGAACTACTGTTTTGAACTGAATTGAATTTCATCTTGAATTCAAAACTACTGTTTTCTAACCCAAGCTGGCTTAAGCACTTTAGAGAAAATGGACCCCATTTTGGACCAGCTGTAGTTTCAGGATCATCTTCAAGAGCAGCACCATGTAGGGCACATTGCAGTAGTCCAGTTGCAAGTGAACAAAGTATAAGTGACCATTTGAAGGGCCTCTCTAACTGGTGCACTGATGAACCTGTGCAAAGGACCTCCTGGCCACAGCCCCGCTATTTGTTCATATGGGAAGGAAGGGTGAGAAGAAAGAGTGAATGATGAATGTATTCATATGTGCAAAGAAAAAGAAAGAAAGAAAGAAAGAAAGAAAGAAAGAAAGAAAGAAAGAAAGAAAGAAAGAAAGAAAGAAAGAAAGAAAGAACAGCAAGCACAGGAACTAGTGAAAAGGAACAATCCCTAAAAATAAAAGACAAGCACTGGTATACTAGTTCACAGAGGAGCCATCTTTGCATGGATGAATGAGAAGGAGTAGAAACAGGAGGATGGTCAGTCGGATCTTGCAAGGAGCATGGTTGAGACTATACATCAGTCCAGGTCTATTTTCAACCCACTGCAATCCATAGTAGAATTTCTGAAATAGGCTTAAGGAACAGCATGAGCAGCATGGGAGATAAACCACTTAGGCTGCAGTGTAGAATTGCTCTATACAGTATTATAACTGATGGAGCATAAAACTGTATTTGCCTTTGTTTATGGCCATTATACCTTGCTGACTCTTATTCAGATTATAATCAGTTATAAATCCAAAATTCTCAAGTTTCTCCATCCTGTGTTCAGGTACTTGATTTTCTATTTTCATAAGCAAACAATTTTCTCCATTAAAATTTCCTCTATCAAGTAATTAATGAAACTAAGCAATGAAAAAAGCAATTAAACCTTTTAAATATTTATCCAAGTACTTAATGAAAATGTTAAAATAAACTGCACCCAAGGCCAAACATTGTAGCTCCTCACTTGACAATTTACTCCAATTTAATGATAATCCACTGATGATTGAAAACAGTTTTCAAACCAGCTGTAAAAATCAACAAATAGTCAGGCCATCGAGACCATACTTAACTAACTTGCTAATCAGATTCTCATGGGATACTTTGGATGGTGATTAATATTTATGTTATTTATATGTAAGGGTTTAGGTTTATATATATGTTGTATGTAGCATGTTTAAATATGTGTTATGTATGTGTACACTTTGAGAGCAAGCAACTAAATTTCATTTTTAATGTGTGTCAATGTGCCTACAGTAAAATAATGACAATAAAGGTTGTCTGTCTGTCTGTCTGTCTGTCTGTCTATCTATCTATCTATCTATCTATCTATCTATCTATCTATCTATCTATCCATCTATCTATCTATCTATGGAAAAGTTAATTAATATCCAAAGCATTCCTCCAATTACCAATCAAAAATGAAAATAACAAAGTTTGTTAACAAATCCATACTAATGACTAGTAAACATTACATTGTTTTTACAGTGCTCATAAGACTATATTATGGCCTTGGTATAAGCTATATCATCAAATGTAAAGCCTTCTCAATAGAGTGACATCAATGCTGTTTTTTAATTTGTTCATTTTCTCCTCTCTCTTAGTCTGAGAGAGCATTTGGAAGTGTTTATGTTTCTTAACAAGCTGTTGAGGCATTGACTTCAATAAGTAACCTGACTTTCTTTAAAAAAAAAAAAGACACTGCTGAGATATATCAAGAATATTTTTTAATATTATACATACAGTAAAATTTCCATCAAGTCTGATTTTTAATAAGACAAGGTAATATTAAGAGGCCATGACAGAGTGTTGTCAGACCAATGCATGACATGTCTCCTGATTGTTGAATAAATGAAGGCATTTGTCCGCTGTATTCTTTCTTTCAAACTTTAGACCTTTTCAGAGGCAACTATCTGAATGACTGCTCTTCAGAGAGCTAATGATATAGGTCCAAGAACTAAAACAGATTTTCTATGCATTTTAACATTCTTTCTTTGATGTTTTTGATATCAACATATTGCTTAAAATTTATAATCAGTGTTCATCATCCATGGACAACTGTTATTTCTAATGCATCACATATTTTAGTAATATTTATTGTATTTTATAACAATAAGTGACTCACCATAAAATATTACAAAACACTTCTTTTTCAGTGTTCTAGCCACTAACTATGCTTTTCCTCAGCAACATTACAGATAATGTGATGGCACAGTGGTAAAATACAGTATTGCAGGCAAACTCTGCCCACAGCCTGCAATTCGATCCTGACGGGGCTTAAGGTTGGCTCAGTGATCCACCCTTCTGAGGTTGGTAAAATGAGGACCCTGATTGTTGGGGGCAATATGCAAATAATGCTGATATTGCAAGCTGCCAAGAGAGCGCTATAAAGTACTATGGGGTGGTATGTAAGCCTAAATGCTACTGCTATTATTATTGCTAATCCTCGACTTATGACTGGCCACTTAGTGACTGTTTGAAGTTATAATGGACCTCCCTGGGATACTTACAACTTGGTTCTCAAGTTCCAATAGCCCCCTCCCCATTTCTGAGCAGCCTATCTGCATTTACAGTTGTTTGAAGCATCCCACAGTAAGTAAGTGGCTGTGTTACTTTTGCGTTTTGGCAAAACCGGCCCATAGTGAACCACTGCTTCACTTAATGTCTGTAGTGTTTGCTTAATGACTGCTGCAAAAATGATCATAAAATCAGGTCAATCACGTGGATGATCCAATTTACATAACTTACAATAGTGATGGCAGGTTCCATTACAATCATAAATCAAGGACCACCTGTATTGATTACTCTTCCCTGTACTTCCAAGCATTCAGTCCTCCTTCTCTCATGCCTTCAGATTTCCATTTCTGTGTCAAGCAAGAACATCCGATGAAGAGCTTCTTCTTTTGAACCATGACATCCTGTTTGTTGACCTTTGCCCAATTTTTATTGCACTGTTTTACGGGAGGAAAATTTACTTAACATGTTACCAAATGCACGGGTATAGAATAGGTCAGGGGTGTCAAACTTGCAACATCATGTGACATGTTGTGACATATCGTGACTTTTTTTCCATTGCTGGCAATGGGGTGGGTGTGGTTTCCATGACACTCCTGGAATAGGTGATGCTGGCTCATCAGCAATAACTGTGGGAGGGATTTAGGAGTCCTAGTGGACAATCACTTAAGTATGAGACAGCTGGGTACTGTCCTAGGCATATTATCAAGATCACAAGAAGTATTAGTACCACTTTTTACTACTTGGTATGAGCCCACTTGGAATACATGGTTTTGTCACCATGATACAAATAAGATGTTGTGACTTTATAAAGAGTGCAGAAAACAGCAACAAAGATGATTAGAGGGCTGGAGGCTAAACCGTATGATGGACAGTTGCAGGAACTAGGTATGTCTAATCTAATTAAAAGAAGGATTAGAGGTGACATGAGAGCAGTCTTCCAATATTTGAGGAGTATCACAGAGAAGAGAGGGTCAATCTATTCTCCAAAGCACCTGAGAGCAGGACAAGAAGTATCAGATGGAAACTTATCCATGAGAGATCCAATCTAGAACTAAAGAGACATTCCCTGACAGCGAGAACAATTAATCAATGGAGCAGCTTGCCTTCAAAAGTTGTAGGTGCACCATCACTAGAAGTTTTTAAGAAGAGATTGAACAGCCATTTGTCCAGAATAGTATAGGGTCTCCTGTTTGAGCAGTGGATTGGACTAGAAGACCCCTAAGATCCCTTCCAACTCTGTTATTCTGTAAGATGTCCTCAAGTGAACTCTTATGCATCAGTTATCACATTTGGACTTCATATGGATATATAATTTCAAATAAGAACTATTAAATTGGAGCAGCACTTTATCTAGTCCAGTATTCTGTGGCACATATTGGGAAACCAGTTGCCTTCAATAAGATCGTATTATCCAAAGCTTGTACATTCAGAATTAGGCACTAATTCAAATAGGAGGAGGAAATATAGTGCTCTTCTTTGCTTTCTTATAATCATTTCTGTGATTCAATATTTCAAGAAGGGCCATATTTTTTTCTTATATGCAGTCTATTAATTTATATAATGGAGCTATTCAGTTTTGTAGTTTGTCATTGCAAATTAGTGTATCCTTTTTTAAGTATTTGTGATTACAATTTATAGGTAACAGCAATTTAGAGTCAAAATCAGCAATTATTACTTGCAAGCTGCAGGAGAAGCCTTCTATTAAAATTTAACTGAAAAATGGTGTAATGGTTAAAGCACCAGACCAGAATTACAAACTATCATGCAATCTACTCCCACTTTAGGCACAAAGTCAGCTGGGTGACCTTAGGCCAGTCATTCTCCCTTAGCCCTAGGAAGCTGGCAACAACAAATATTTCTGAAATATTGTCAAAAAATATTGCCAGGACTAGGCCAACCTGACTCAAAGGCACACACAATTGAAATTCTTAGCTGGGAAATGTAGTCTTTACTTGTCATTATGTACACCATGGGTTCTGTAATTCTTGGAGGCAGTGAGGCTCCTTTCTGCCAATCAATTACATTTATTTATTTATTTATTTATTTATTTATTTATTTGTTTTATGAGACTTATATACCGCTTTAAGTGCAAGCACTCTCTAAGCGGTGTACACCAGTAAGCAATGTGTATATATATATATATATATATATATATATATATATATATATATATTTACATTGCCCCCAACAATCTGGGTCCTCTTTTACCTACCTCGGAAGGATGGAAGGCTGAGTCAACCTTGAGCCGGTGAGATTTGAACCGCTGACCTGCTGAACACAGTCAGCTAAAGTGGCCTGCAGTACTGCACTCTAACTGCTGCACCACCTCGGCTCTTTTCCCTAATTATTACAAGGTTCACTAAGATATGGTTTTTATCATTTAAAAAAAAGCAAGGAAAGATAGAAGCTCATCTGTTTTACCACTGTGTACTCTCAGTAGCAATCCATTTATCAGTCAGCTATCTTCTCAAGCTGTTCTTATTTCAAGCTTTTTTCTCAAATGCAGAGCCAACAAGAAGAAAAATAGTATTTTGCAGAAGGTTCAAGTGGCAGTCACATTTTATAAAGAGGGCACCTGAAAATAGAAACATCTTCATGGTTACAAAAGACTCTATCTAGGCAACATCCTTGTTTTTGTATATCCAGATAGGCAACAATGCCAGGACACTCACCAAATATCTATGCCCCGGCCTAAGTTTAAACTCTGGTAAATAGCCCAGAAACTGAGATCTTGCTATTCAAGGCTCTCTAGCTTAGGTTTCAGTTTATGCAAAGTCAAACGTGTTTCCCTGTTTGCCTAAATTTCACTGAAAGTAACATCAAAAAATGACTTCACCAAACCAACCTGTGTATGCCACATACTGAGATACACCCAAATATTAAATAGCACTATAATTTCAATGACCACCAAAGCCTTTTATGTATATTTAGAATGTGTATCTTGGATTTCTGAAAGTAAAATGAGATGGAAGATCTTGGGTATAATATGTTTTATTATCTGTTTTGCTCTGTTTCCAATTGGACTAGAAATATTGAAAGAAGAGTTAACACTTCATAGTAAAATAGAGCTTCCAGATTTTTTCATTTTCTTTTACTGTTTACCTATTATACTCTCCCAGAAAGATTATAATCTGCGGTAGGTCACTGGTTTCAGCATCATAATGCCATCTAGAGTGCAGCAGAGAAAGCACAAACTCAGGAGACGTTGGCATACAAAGAAATTCTTGAAATTGCAAACCCCCATTATGTACATTGATAAACTGTAGAGTCACTCAGGTGTGGTACAGTTTGTACATCTGAAATAATTCCATTGGGTGGGCAGTACCACACCATGCACATGGTAGCATTTATACCAATTACACCTTACACATTATGTCAGCCAATAGCGCTGATGCCAACTCTGAAAGCTAAAAAGAAAACATTGTTATGGTGCAAATGAAGGTACTAAGGTGGGCTGAAACAGAAATGGTTGATATAAAACCCCTTTCATAACTTCATCTGGCTAATTCTATGCAGAAATAGCCAGTTCGTCTATTGCATGGGACTTGACTTGTATCTTCAATTTCCTCTTCCTAAACTGACTAGAGCTGGGACAAGGCAAGTCGTCTCATAAGTGCATAACTATTTATTATTTTATTTTATTTTTGTTTTATTTATTTTATTTTATTTATAATCCCAATTTCATTATTTTTTTTATAACTAGGTAGTGAATGCCTAACTCTCTTTCCTCTTCCTATTATCATCACAACAATAACCCTGTGAAGTGGATGGGCCTTCGTGCCTAAGAACTCCCCGTCTCTTGGTTTCTAGCCTGGCACTTTTAATGAAACACAGCATAACTCTTGCAATATTTCTTCTAGAAAGGAAACTGATGTGGAAATCCATCTAATGAGTTGGTAACTGAGACTAGTTTTAAACTCATGCAATATTATATAAATCTTCTTTGAGGCAATCTCAATTCAGTTTATTATTATATCTAGGAATGTAGTAAATTATTGCAATTGTACTACTTATCTAAGAGGAGATACATGAAGTGGTGGCCCTGATGATAAGATCTCATTCATGTAAGTTTGGGTACACAAGTTCCATGGTTCCGTGGTTGTATCTTTTGGTGTATCTTACACAGTTCCTCCAAACATTGCTGATTTAAAAAAAAAAAAAAAAAAATTTCAATGCAACAGCATGGAAAACATAATTAGATGAGAAGTAATTGTTCCACTATGATTCAATTAATTTAACATAATTAAATTAATCCTGGTTCCTCCTACTGTTTTTATTTGAGAACATAGCCTGACATTCTAGTGTCATGTTTGGCCTTCTGTCTGAAGGTTTGGGATGATTGTTTTAAGAAATCACTGTAAAATCGGTTGTTTTTAGCAAAAGGAGCAGTCTAGTCAAAGACAGGGAAATATCATTTATCTGACTCACTGTATGCTGAATAGACACATTCATTCTATCAAACAAAGAAAAAATGCAAGAGGTAGATTGTTATATTCCTCTTTGAGCTGCAGTTTCAGAGATATTGACATGCACAGTGTGATATTGTGCGGCTATATTCCCTAGGCTGCGATCTTCCATCTTTTGTAGAGCAGGCCTGCAGACACTTTTACCTGGTAATTGTAAGCACTTAGTCTCACAGGTGCTGACTTAGATGACTAATGCCATTTACATAGGTTTACTGTAACCACCTCCTACATAAGTATCAGGGCCTGGATGCTGGCAGGCCACCAGGGGAAAAAAAAAACAGAGATAGTTTTTAATGCAATTACTTTAGGGAGATGTTTCTGTGCCATGTGCCCATAACCAGGCTATGCTTTGGATAATACATGTACAGTGAAAAAAGAGTAGTCCAATCGATTTAAACAATATGAAAGATATGCTTTTACAGAATACATTAAAAGTAAAGGTAGGTCAATTTCTTGATGACTCTTTGTTTACAGAAGCATTACGGCTTGATAATTTTTAAGCAATATATGAAAATACTATGGACAGTCAAGAAAACAAACTAATGGATATTCCAACCGATCCAGAGTACTTACCTGAGGGACCTAGCTCAAATTATCCTATTTTGGGAACATTGTGCAAAGAAGGCCCTAAAGGTGGAACAGAAAAGAAGAAGATGACCTGAAAAATCAGATTAGGGACAGATCATTATGGAGAAAAATCTATCTATGTGGTCACTAAGAGTTGACAATGATTTGATGACACATAATCAATCTTTAATAGAGCTGTGTGGAGCTTTGATTAGAAGTTGATTTGATTGACTCACCATTTTGAATATTGAACTAAAATGTTAAAATTGGGTCATCAAATTAAATTGAGGTGCCTTAATGCTGATTTGAAAATGAAATGGACTTTTGCACATGCAAAAATGCATTTATACCAAATCAAACCTTGGCACTGATTTAATTTGACAATTTGAATTGAAATTTCTAATCAAACTGACTTGACCTTTTCAACTGAATTGCAAATATAGCTTGAATCATAATTCACATCAAAATTTGGCTGATATGCAGTCTCTTGTAGACACTGTGCTGTCATACAAACTACAACATTTTGTTTAAGCACAGGAGTTTTCCTTTTCATCCATTGTATACACAATTTCTTAGTAGTTGCATTGTGGGATATATGTGTTGGAGAAAAAAAAACAAAAAATCAACTTCGTTCCCTTATGACACTGGTGGGGAAAGTTGCCTTCACTGAAGTCAAAATTTCCTTCATAGCTTAAATCTGGGAGTTTTAAAAAATAAAAGTGAGGTAAATAGTTGTTATGTAAATTGGGTTCTCCTTTAAATGTACATAGAAATACCCTAAGCATGCTAAGGACACAAACCTCTCTGAAGATCATACTGGATTTTGGTTTCCCATCCAGAAACAAATGTGAGCCCGACTGTTCACTTTGCCTAACATACAAAGGAGATGACCTGGGAAAGAGCATCCCTACACATAAATGATTATTTGCAATTAGTTTGGGATATTCTGTATTCTGTCTTTTTTGTTTCAAAGTCAACAAGTACAAACCCACTTTCATTCTTTTATGAGGTTTGTAAGGGTATATTTGTATTACTGTTTTTTTAAGAATTCAGAAATGATGTATCTATGTTCATTCTGATAACTGGAACATCACACATACACCCCTCTCCAGAAGGCAGAACTGAAGACTTCCGGAACAAGTCACATATCTCTCTCCATTATGTGGAGCTCTAAGGCATGGCTATGACAGCAGCATCATTCTTACATGAGCTACAATACTCAGTCATGACAAAGTTAGTCATGGCTGTGTAGGGGTAGGCAAATACATTACGTTCCTCAGGTAATTGCTTTCCTTCTGTCTGATAAAAGAATGAAGTCTAATCTAGTCATGTGCCATGACTTCTTCCTCTTCCTTGGGCCTTGAAAAAAATAAAAAGTTGCAGATATCTGAATTATTTATTTATTCTTAATATTTGAAGTGAATAATGTTCACTTAAATGGCATTACTCATCATGTCAGCCCTTGGTTGATTGAATTAATAACCCAGGAGTTAGAATAGATACTGTCCTAGTCACCCTGATTAAGTTTTGAAATCTACAGGATGCAGAGAATCCAGAGCAGGTGGAGAAGCAGTTATCACTGTTACATTATATTGATCAACCCCAATAATGAAGTTCAAGTGGGAGTGAGTCTTAGCCACTATTTTTTTTTTACACAGAATGATACCTTAATGGTGACCTTATTAATAGTCTGGCAGCAGTGTCTCTTCTTATTTATTGTCACATTTCTATGCTATTTAACTTCTCACAGTTGAGAGCAGTTTACATACAAAATGAACTTCAAATACAAATAAAAATGACAAAAATGGTCCAGGTCCCCATTGTCTCAAAAAGAAGGTGACAGTTTTTACTTATTTGAGAAATGCAGGCAAGGTGAGGGCTTCTCTTATCTCAGACGGCAAGGTGTTCCACCAGAAGGCCATAAGCTCATCTTGAGTGGGGACTTGGAGAAGACCTTTCCCAGAGCAGCACACAGTGTGGGCTTATTCTGATAGGGAGATAAGATCTTGTAAGTACAGGTTCTCCCACAACCTATGAACCATGCGGTGGTTAAGCCAATCTGGTTTTCCCCCATTGACTTAGCTTGTTGAAAGCCAGCTTGGAAGGTTGAAATGGCAATCATGTGACTCCGGGACACTTCGGCCATCGTAACTCCATGCTGGTGGCCAAGTGTCTGAATTTTGATCATGTGTCCCTGGGGATGCTGTGACAGTTGTAAGTGCGAGGATCAGTTGTAAGCGCCTTTTTTTTCAGTGCCATTGTAATTTTGAACAGTTACAATTTGCTCAACCACTGCATGATTCACTTAACATATGAAGTGATTCACTTAGCAACTACCACAGCTAAGATCCTAAAATCGGGCACAACTCACTTAAAAACTGCCTTGCTTAGAAACAGAAATTCTGATCTCAGTTGTGATCATAGTTGTAAGTTGTGGTTGTAAGTTGTGGACTACCTACATACAGATGCCAAGTTATATAGGGCTTTATAATTTAAAACCAGCATCTTGAGTTGGGTCCCGTATCCAAAGCAATGACCTAAGCCAGAGGTTCTCAAACTTGGCCACTTTAAGACTTGTGGACTTCAACTCCCAGAATTCCCCAGCCAGCCATGGCTGCCTGAGGAATTCTGGGAGTTGAAGTCCACAAGTCTTAAAGTGACCAAGTTTGAAGACCCCTGACCTAAGCAATGACCATGTTGCTGAATCTACCACCTCCTGACCTCATGACAATGAAATTTGGACCAACTGCTGGTTCTAAGTCATCTTTGAAAGCAACCTCATATAAAGGAAGTTACAGTAGTCTCATTGCAAGTTGATGGGTAAAGTAAGCTACTATACAGAGAATAATCAGGTGTTGCTGTTGTGTTACAGACAGTACACTTTTTCCCTATGTCAGAGATGCATAGCCTTTTGTGCTTGTTCGGGGGTTTATCTCTACAAATGGCTTTCTAGATAGAGGTATTGAATAGAGATAATAATTATCATTTTTTGTAGTTCTGATTTTATACATAGTTCATCTGTCAGGGTTTTTCTTTTATTTTGTTAGAAAGTCAGACCAAGAAAATGATTGGAGTCAAAGCAAGAAAAGGGTCATTTGCAGTTAAATTAGTTATTTTTCCTGTACTTTACCATTTTTTTCCTATTTCTTGCAACAAAAATTAAAATTTGGCAGTAACTTTGAGAAAGTTTACTGTAGGTTTCACTAGTGATTCGGAGTGGGAGGACATGATATCTTAGTTTTTTTCCATTTGCTAACCAGTGCTCTGCTGATGATAAAGCTAACTTTAAACTCTGTAACATGAGGAACTGGCAACTCTTCAGGATGCAGCATTAATTAATAAAATTAATTCCCTCCTCCATTAGCTATTTGGTTCACATCATGGATGTGGAATACTCCTGACTCATGGCTCATACAGTGTTGCACTCCTCACCTTCCAAATAATTTAGATTACAGCTCCCATAAACCAAAAATAGCATCAAATGTGGCGGGGGATAATGGGTGTTCATCAACAGCATAAGGTGGCAAGGCCACAATGAAAATAAATTTGCTTTCCAAAGATGTCCACCATGCAGCTGACGGAAGAGGGATAGAGATCTGGCTTTCCACTGAGAAGAGGACTTTTAGTTTATTGGTAGATCATCTGATTACTCAGATTAGTGTAGCCAAAAGTCAGCATGTCCAGCAGTTTACTTCTAAAATAGCATCTGAATATAAAGCTGTAAAAACCTCTTGAAGCTATAAAGGTTGGGAAGGGATGTGACGGGACAAATATTTGAAACTTTGCTCAACAAACATGCTGTCTTGATAGAAGAAAAACATATTAGTGGAGAAAGAAAACTTAATCTGAACTCTTTCCCCTGACTAATTAGTTTTTTTATGTGCAGGCAATGATTAGGGGGAATCAATTTTGTTACCAGTCATTATACAAACCAAAGTGGTGCAGTCTACAGAACACTTTACAAGTCCCGTCACCCAGTTTTTATATGTTGGAAAAGGACGAACTAAAGCTTAGTGTTGTGCTCTGGTTACGCCATTTTCTGGATAGGGAGGTTGTCCACTGGGTCATTCGTGCCCTGGTCATCTCCTGTTTGGATTATTGCAATCTGCTCCTCATGGGGTTACCCTCGAAAAGTATCTGGAAACCAGCTGCTACAAAATGCAGCTGGGTGGGCAATTTTAGGCACCCAAAGAAGGATGCTTCTGGGTTCAATTCAAGGTGTTGCTTGTGACCTATAAAGACCTACATGGCATGGGGACAGGCTACCTAAGGAACCGTCTCTATCCAATTATATCAACCCATCCCGTCTAGTCAGACAAGGAAGGAATGTTGCAGACTCCATCAGTTAAAGAGTTTCAACTGGCGGGTCTAGGAAGAAAGCCTTCTCTGCCATCGTCCTCGTCCTGTGGAATATTCTTCTCCTGAAGGTGAGGCAGATTCCACTCTCCTGGAATTCTGAAGGGGAGTTAAAATGTGGCTCTGTGGCCATGTGTGGGGAGTCCAGAGGAGCACACAGTCATAGGGCTGGTTAGTCCCCTGAAAATTTTCCCTTTACCTCTTAACCAGTTTTAATCTCTTGCCCTCTCTTACATTTTTAAATTTAAATTTAATTTTTTTAACTTTTGACCGTATTGTTTCATATTTTAACATTTTTTTATACACCACCCAGAGTCCTTCTTTGAGGGAAATTGGAGGGTCAGAAATGTAAAAAAAAAATACGTCAAATAAATAAACCGAATAGGTTGGTAGTGCAGACATGTACGTATTATAGGATTCCCTGGAGGACAGCAGAAGACAAGGTGAGCAACTCCCTGTGGTTGCCATGTGTCCATGTGCTTTCCATAAACTAATTGGAGTCTATAAAATGCACTGGAACTTTTAATCAGAGCTATAGTTTGGTGTTTTTCTCTTCATCTTTGGTTTAGTTTTTTACAACAGAAGAAATTATGTCCCAGCTGTTTTTTTGATTTCATTTTGTAGCAGAGCTGTAGGAAGCCAGAGGAAATGAAGACATAATGGCAGTCCTGTTTTACCTATTGTCTCTGAAGCCTGGACTGTTC